GCCCCCTTGGGCCTCCCTTTTGTAGAGCTGGATTTTTGGAGAGCTTGGCGAAGCCCTGCTGTAGTGAAGAGTGGTCGAGCGCTTCAACCGAGGAGGAGAGAGGTCTTCATCAGATTCTTCATCACTCGTTCCCCCCTTTCCTTAGTATTACCCTTCGTCGGTAATCACTAAGAAGAGCTGATATCTCGTTTTAGCCGAGATAGACGCTTCAGGCTTCTAGATCTCACACGGATCAACGAAGCTCTGTCCAATTCTTCGGAACAGATCTGAGTGCCAGGTAGTCCACGGATATCGACGTCCCCGTCACAGGCCAAAGACCCACGCAAGCAAGAGACGAATAAATGATCTCTGCGTTTGTTTGAACGAGAGTTGTAACCTTTTTTTTTTGTTTTCATTGTGTAAGAGTCTTATAAAAAGGCAATCTTTTTGTTTCATTGTAACGATTGAAGTTGTAATGAATACAGCAATGAATACAACAACTTTCTCCACAAACAGACGCTTATCCAAATCTCTGGCATAATCCGAATCAACATAGCTAATACATAGCTGCCCACCTGTAGTGTCCCGCTCATAAACCAAACCAACATTGAGCGTACCTCGAATGTACCTCAAAATCCATCTCACGACGTCCCAATGACCCACTCCTGGATCGTGCATGTATCTCGAAACCATGCTCACCGCCTGTGACAAATCCGGCCTCGTACATACCATCGCATACATCAAGTTCCCAACCGCACTCGCATATGGAGTCTTCGACATAAACTCTCGATCTTCAACTGACTTCGGTGAAAGACCAGCTGAAACCTTCAAATAGGCTCCTAATGGTACACTAACTGGCTTCGTATCCATGCTAACATGAAATCGCTGTAGAACCTTCTTCAAATAAGCCACCTGTGTCAAATAAATTCTGCCCTTCTTCTTGTATCTACCGATCTCCATTCCCAAAATGCGTTTGGCCTCACCTAAGTCCTTCATCTCAAACTCATTTGAAAGCTAAACTTTTAACTCATCTATAGCCGACATGGAAATAGAGGTAACCAACATAAAACAATCAAATAATAAATAGATGTACGCACCTCCTCTCAACTTGTGAAAATACACGCAAGGATCAAACTGGCTCCGAGTGTACGAATGACCAAGTATAAAACAATCAAATCGCTTATACCATTATCGAGGAGACTGCTTCAAACCGTATAGCGATTTCTTTAACCTGTAAACCAACTTATCTTTCCCTGCAACTCAGAATCCCAATGGCTGAGTCATATATATTTCTTCATCAAGATCACCATGAAGAAATGTCGTCTTCACATCCAACTGATCTAACTCTAATGCATACTGTGCCACCAAAGCTAGCAGAATCCGAATCGAAGAATGCTTCACCACCGGAGAAAAAACCTCATTATAGTCAATACCTTCCTCCTGTGCATAGCCCTTCGCAACCAACCTAGCTTTGAACCTTAATGGAGTGACCTCAATGCCCTCCTTCTTCGTGTACACCAACTTGCACCCAATCGCCTTCCGCCCCCTTGGAAGCTTAACAAGCTCCCATGTATCGTTCTTATGAAGAGACTCCATCTCCTTCTGCATAGCTACCTGCCACGAATCAGCCTCCAAACTCTGCTCGGCCTCTCTGAAAGTAGTAGGTATCATCTCATCGATACTCTCCACCGGAAGTGCATATGCAACTATGTCGGCATACCGTGCTGGCACCCGTATGTCTCTCCTCTGTCTCCGAACCGTAATAGAATCCTGAACCTGAATCGTCAGTCCTTGATCCTGCACATGAGTACCCGTATCCTCCGTATCACCGTCGTGTTCGCCTGGCGTCACCTTAGTCGGCACTCTAATGGATACTGTACCATCTGGATACTGTGGAGCTGCATCTATCTCCACCACATGCGATATCTCCTTTGTCGGGTCGCTCTACACCTGATGAGAGCTGGGAAGCTTCAAGATAGAATCCTCATCGAATGTGACGTCCCTACTCAGCACAATCTTCTTATCAACTGGATCCCAAAGCTTGTATCCCTTGACACCATGCTTGAATCCTACAAATATGGCCTTCCTAGCTCGAAGTTCCAACTTATCAGTTCTAACATGATAATATGTAGGGCAACTAAATACCTTGAGCTGGTCATAGTCATGTGCTGTCTCTCCCGACCACATCTCCATAGGGGTCTTCCCCTCAATCGCAGATGAAGGCAGCCTATTAATGAGGTGGCTCGCATATGAAAGTGCCTCAGCCCAAAAGATCTTCGCCAAACCACTATACGCTAATAAACATCGAATCTTCTCCAGCAAAGACCGATTTAACCTCTTTGTCACCCCATTCTGCTACGGTGTATGACTAACTGTGAAGTACCTCTCTATGCCCTTGTCTCGACATAGCTGCTGAAAGGGGTCTGAAATATACTCGTCGCCGTTGTCGGATCGCAACGTCTTGATCTTTCTCTCAGTCTGCAGTTCCAATCTCTTCTTCCACTCCACAAATATATCTAGGACTTCACTCTTCTTTGTCATGGTGTACACCTAACAACGTCTATAATAGTCATCAACAAACGTGACGAACCAATGTCGACCACCAAGTGATGTAGTCTTGGTGGGACCCCAAACATCTGTGTGCATGTAGTCCAAGATGCCCCTCGTCCTATGAATGACCATCCCAAATTTTACCTTTGTCTTCTTGCCAAGAACACAATGCTCACAGAATTCCACTTTACCACTCTTGGCTCCCTTCAATAGCTCCTGCTTGCACAAAGCCTGCCGTGACTTCTCTCCTGTGTGCCCTAACCTGTAATGCCAAAGCCTACTCATGTCCGCCTCTGAGTTAGCCGAAGCAACCTGGCCAATCTCGGTGCTCCCCTTTAGATAGTATAAATTTCGACTGCGGACTCCCTTCATCACCACCAAAGATCCCTTAGTAACCATCGCTACAGCGTTCTCAAAGGTCACCCTGAATCCCTTAGCCTCCAAAGCTCCAACTGAGATAAGATTCTTCTTTAGTTGAGGAACGAATCTCACCTCCTTCAACTCACAGACTACTCCATCGTGCATCCGAATCCTCACAGTACCTATCCCACAAATACCACAGGATTGATCATTTTCCATGACAACAACTCCCCCGTCGAGTCTCTCAAACGATAAAAACCAATCTCGCCTAGGAGTCACATGATAAGTAGCGCCAGAATCAAGCATCCAATCTGATGCATCCAAATCGTTCACCTCCGGAGTAATCAAAAGAGGAAAGCTCGAATCATCAAAATCATCGCCTTTCGCAACATTCACATCATTATCCTTCGGGTCCTTTTTCTTGCTATTCTCCTTTTCCTTGACCTTTGGGCAGTCTCTCTTCTAATGTCCTAGTTCCTTACAGAACGTACACTGGTTCTTAGCTAGCTGGTAACGACCTCTTGACTTTGACCTTTCTCGATTACCACCTTTCAGATATGGGCTTCTACCTCTCGTCGACAAGGCCTTTCCTGAAGTACTAGCGCGGGAAGTCTCCTTATCCTTCTTCCTTAAATCGTAGTTCGTCAATGCGTTAGTCACTTCACTATAAGTGATAGAAGATCTCCTGTTCAGCAAAGTAAACACGAAGGTATCATACTCCTCATCCGGTAAGGAGCCCAAAAGAATAATAGCCTTGTACTCATCCGTGATCTTCTCATCTACGTTCGCCAAGTCCGATAACAACTTAGTGTAGTTGTTCACATGAGCCGCAAGCAAGGTGCCTCGGGACATCTAGAATCTGAATAACCTACACAATAAATGCAATATGTTCTCAACACTCTTCATAAGATACTTATTGTTGAGAATTTCCCACATCTTCATCGCAGACGTCACCCCAATCACATCATATTTCAGCTCCTGTTCTAAACAGGACCTGATCACCCCACAAGCGTTCATATTCATCTTTTTCCATACTGCCTCTTCATATTTAGGTGGCCTCACATTGACCATGATGGTCTCCTCCAAATTTTGAGCATTGAGCGCATCCTGTACGTCGCTCATCCACAAACCAAAATTGATTTTACCATCATATTTCACTACACTAATATTAGTGTTCTGAAAACCTACTTAAACTGTACCCGTCATCTTGCTGCTTTCACCAACTTCTTCACCCATAATCACAAACTCCAAATTGCAAAGAAAGATTCAAACTTTATAGAATTTAGAAGTTACCCAACTGAACCCTAGATTGGATTCCAAATAGAACTCCTAACCATACGAGGAAAGCGAGATCTTCAACGGCAACTTCAAACCCTAACTCCACCAAAGCCTAGAACTCCAAGAACCAAGCTTCCAACTGAATCTTCCTCCACCTAATCCAAAATCCTAGATCTAAAATCTGAGCTCTGATACCACTTGTTGCGCGTCGTGCGAAAGCTTGCTCGACAACCAAACGAGTCGGTGAGCGATGAGAGAAGAAAACCAAAACCAAACACGAGTGCAATTCACAAAATAACGACCAAAATCACACACAAACATAGGAATTTACGTGGTTCGGCAATTGCCTACGTCCACGGGGAGAGGATGGGGGAGATTTCACTATATGGAGGAGAAATACAATGGGTTACAACTAACAAAATCACTCAAATATAACCCTAACCAAAGCTCTCAACTCCCTCACATTATCTCCCTCTCAAAGTACTCAAAACAATGCTAATTCTCTCCTTAAGAAACCCTAAAAAACATGGTTCTATTTATAACAAAACACAAGCCCAAATAGATTAGGATTCTAAAAACGAGTTTGCCACACCAGGGTGTGGCGCAGACCACACCCATGGCAGACAGGACAGATTCTGCCACACCAGGGTGTGACGCAGACCACACCCATGATAGACAGGGCAGATTCTGCCACACCCATGGCAGATACCACACCAGGGTGTGGTGGAGTCTGTTTTGGGTTATTTTCACGTTTTTCATAATTCCTTCGCCGTTTTCACATAACTTACTCAAGAGCTCTGTAATTCATTCTACCATCCCAAGCTCAAAATCCAATGGCAGCCTCTGCATCCTCTTTCGTTGGCCAGGCCGTTCTCAAGACCCCCAACGAGCTTGCTCGCAAGGTGGGACCCACTGGCAATGGCCGCTTCACCATGCGTCGGACTGTCAACAGTGCTCCCCAGAGCATCTGGTAACAAAATTAGTAATGTTTTGAAGAAATTCTCGCATGTATGATTAGATACTAAACAAGATTTTCAGCAATATAGATGCGAAAAAAACACACTACTAATTGAAATTTTAACATATCAGGTACGGACCAGACCGTCCAAAATACCTAGGCCCATTCTCAGAGCAGACCCCCTCCTACCTCCCCGGAGAGTTCCCTGGTGACTATGGCTGGGACACTGCCGGCCTATCTGCTGACCCAGAGACCTTTGCCAAGTACCGTGAGCTCGAAGTGATCCACTGCCGATGGGCAATGCTGGGCGCTCTTGGATGCGTCTTCCCAGAAATCCTCGCCAAAAATGGAGTCAAGTTTGGCGAAGCAGTCTGGTTCAAGGCTGGCTCACAAATCTTCTCCGAAGGCGGTCTTGACTACTTGGGAAACCCTAACTTGATCCATGCTCAGAGTATTCTTGCTATCTGGGCATGTCAGGTATTTCAAATTAACATTTTGGTCTGAAAGTTCAAGGCTGTTGACACTTGTATCAGTAAACTTTTTGTAGCCTGTCCCTCCACGATACTGTTGGTGTCTCTGATGTAACACACATTCAAATCTTTGGCTATAATCTTATATATGTTGGTAACCTAGTTTGTAGTGGTCCAGATGTCTGTGACGTCAGTGAACACACCAGCCGAGACCCTGTAGGGACATTCCAGCCAGGGGCGGAGTTACATTGAGTCCAATGGGGTCCTAGGACCCCAGTAAAATCTAAATATGTACCAGATATTACATATAAAAAACATAAGTGCAGCAACGGCCCAGTGGTTTAACACTCCAGGACCCCTGTAATCCACCAGAGTTCGAGTCTGCTGGGCTGCATATTTTCACGATTTTTTTGGACCTCATATGTGTTTTTAAATTATAGTTTGTCATTAAAATAATTTGTGCGTAAAATCTACATTATCAATAATTTTAGGACCCCATATGTTAAAAATCCTGGCTCCGCCACTGATTCTAGCCCATTTTCTTCCTTATATACTTTGATTTCAAATTTTACATTTATATATACTAGGTTGCAATAACAGAACTTTAACACACAATAGCTCTTTTAATTGTTGTAAGTTTGTACCTTGTGCCTTGGGGTATCTCGCAAGGATGTGATTTATACGTATTGTCTTTGGATATGAATACCCCTTAACAGACCCGAATAACAAGTTAATTATAGTTTAATTTCTGTTGATGATATACAAAAGAAAATTTTGATCTTCTCCCTCATTAATTAATCAATCCTAGCAATCCAAACATCATTTTCCCCCCAATAATTAGCCCAAGTGCTCAAATAGTGCTGCCAAATGTGTGCAATCCCTTCAAAATTGTAATAAAGTTATGTTGTAGATTAATATGTTTACTTGGCCAAAATTGAGAAAATTTCACCCATATTTCAGACAAGGGATGAGCAATTTCACGAGGAAACAATAGGAATGAAAAGGTTATTTGTACTTATTAAGAGTAACTCAGTCTTTTAATTCTATGAAATAACGCCAGCAAGTAAACGGAAAAAAAAATTTTGTTGGGTGCGAAAGTGCTGTAAAACAAAACTAAGGATATATCAGTCCAAAACATGAGAAATTTTGAGGTACAGACGTGCAATCTGCAAAGACACTGTCAGATACTTGCCCAACAATATAACAAAATATCGAACTAATCTCTCTTATGTTGCCAGGTTGTCTTAATGGGCTTTGTTGAAGGATACAGAGTTGGGGGAGGTCCATTAGGAGAGGGACTCGACGCGACTTACCCAGGGGGAGCATTTGACCCCTTGGGTCTTGCTGATGATCCTGAAGCATTTGCAGAGTTGAAGGTGAAGGAGATCAAGAATGGACGGTTGGCGATGTTCTCAATGTTCGGATTCTTTGTGCAGGCAATTGTTACAGGAAAGGGACCAATAGAGAACTTGTTTGATCACTTGGATAACCCAACTGCTAACAATGCATGGGCTTATGCTACCAACTTTGTTCCTGGAAAATGAATTTGATGATGAATTCAGATGAACGAGGTGTAACAGTATGAAGAAAAGTGTAACAGTTGACGATAAGTTTGGTCGTTGTATCTTCGTTTCTGTCATCTTAATGTATGACTTTATTGTTGGGACTTCTATTGATAAAATCAGAGCAGTAATCAAAATAGGATGATACTGTTAAATGTCAGCAATATTTCTCCATTCTTCTTGAAATATCTCAAGGAGTCAAGCCTTCATGAATAAAGTGTTTCTAGAAAGATCTACCACACTTATATATATGAGTTCCCCTTCATTTGGTTGGAAGCAATCAATGAAGCAAAGTGAAAAGAAGAGAAAGAAGTAGAGGAGAGTGAAGAATAGCTTGTAGGAAAGAAAGCTAGTGTACTAGTGTGTAGGTGTGAGAGTAACTTGTAAAAGAAAGAGACGTGTAGTCTTTTGTGAGAAAGTTGTACTCCCTTATTTGAATCAAATATATTTTTGTTAACTCCTCCATTGTCCAAGAGTTTTTATTCAAAGCCTCTTTTCGGGTCCATAAATTCCATCAAAGTGGTATCAGAGCCTCGTTCGATCTAGCCGGGCCAATCGAAGTGCTCGTGTACGAGATGGCGAACATGATCCAGCCACAGATTCCGAAGCTGATGAAGACCAATTACGACAACTGGAGTATCCAGATGAAAGTCTTGCTCGGCTCGCAAGACTTGTGGGAGCTCGTGGAGAATGACTACACTGAACCAAAATCACCTGCAACAGAAGCAGCTCTCACCGCCACACAGAAGAGTGAGCTGAAGGAAGTCAGAAAAAGAGACAAAAAAGCTTTGTTCCTAATATTCCAAGGCGTAGATGATAATCACATTTTATTATAATTTTATACCCTCATTATCTATTTTATATGAATAAATATACCACTAATAATTGCTTTTATCTTTAATTGCAGGTTAATGAAGAATAAGAGCCCAAACTCCAATCTCTCAACAAAAACCCATTGATTAAAAATTATCCAAAAGCCCAAAAGAAAAAAAATATCCAAGCCCAAAAGTCAAGCAAAGCCCAAAGTCCAAATCCCAAAAGCAAACAACAATGGATTCTGCGGACAGCAACAGAAGAGAGGCAGGCATCGATGCCCGCATCGATGCCTGTATCGATGCCAGCATCGATACCCCTATCGATGCTGGTATCGATACACTGAGTAGTTTGTTACGAATCAAAGGCTGAAAATTAATGTTTTTGGATAAGATTTCGATCCAATAGCTCTCATTCACTGATGTTTACTATAAATAGGGGTAAAGAGTGAGGGGTTAGGGGTGTGAAAATTTTTAAAACTCTATTTGGAGAGGAGGGCTATTCTTAATTGAGAAGGCCTTCCAAAAATTGTAACTTTAGTTGCAATTAATAATAATAATTTTTCTCCTCTTTAAATTTGTTCTTTCTCCTCTTTGTTGAATGATGAGGATGGAGATGAAGAGCAATTTGAAGGTTTGTATTTCTTTTCTCTTTTATTTCTTTTTAGTAATTTATTTATTATTTCTTATTAGTTAGATTTAAATTCATGCTTGTAGTGTAGATTTATTTTCTTATCTTTTTATTTCTTTTTGCACGTTAATTTGTAGAGTAGATTTATTTTCTTGTAATTAATTTTTGTAATATATTTTATAGTTTAGATTTTAATTCTTTGTAGTAGATTTATTTCTTGTTCATAGTTTAGATTTTTATTTTCTTTTTAATTTTGAAATTAGTTCTTTTTCTTCTTGTTTTTATTTCTTAAGATGTGAAATTAATTCTTGTAGGAATCTTAGAATTGTATGATGATAGTCTAATTTCCTTTATAATATGCAAATTATTCTCTTTCACTTAAAATGTTCATGTTTAGGATAATCAATTAGAAAACTAATCGGTAGAAGAAGTAATCTATGCTTATTTTAAATAGTTTGATAGGTTATGCTTATGAATTCCAGGATTACTATCTTGTTGTTGTTATTATCATGAATAGTAATTTTGATTTAGATGATAATTTGATAGGTTATACTTTCCTTAAATGGTTTGATAGTCTATGCTTAATAAATCTAAGTTGAAATATGATAAAAAGAGAATAGTTTGTATTTTGTAATTAAAATTTGCTAGTGGATTAAATTCTAGATTTCTCATATCTTAAATTGAATTATCCATCTTAATTTTCTTGAATTCTCTTTTATTTCTTGATTTTATTCATTCTTCCTTCTTGCCTTATGATTTTATTTATTCTTTGATTCTTATTTCTTTTCTCTAAATTTCAATTTATTGTCTCTTGCATATATACACAAAAATCACTCATCACAACCACACTTATTCTTTAATCCTATTTTGTCATGCACACAACATAAGAACCTATTCTAATAATCTCTTAAAATCACCTTCCTCGTGGGATCGATATCTTTTTATACTATAACTTGATCAATTGTGCACTTGCAATTTTGGTACATAATTATGCCGCATCAAGTTTTTGGCGTCGTTGCCGGAGAAGGTGCTAAAATAGGATTTTATTAAATTGGTTCTTTAACTTATGTGTTTTTCTTGTGAAGGAACCGCTTGGAGCTTGAAAATCTTGGATTGAAGATCAAGAATTTAGAGAATTACTTTCAGGTAAATCTTCTTTCTAGTTTTCAATTCCACCCTCTTTAGCTAGCTTCACAAGTTGAGACAATTAGGATTTAAAAAAAATTATTTTTGTTGACCATAATAAAGTCAATCTTTCACTTGGACATTAACTAACAAGATAATAAACTCAAACAATGTTCCCCCTTCCCACATTTGATTGTTGTTGACCATAATTAAAAAAATATAAAGATTTTCTTTTTATCATTCTTTTTAGTCGCTTTTAATTTCTAGGGTTGCATTTCATATAGTGTAGGAATTTACCAAAGTGATTGTAGCACTTGATTTGGCACACACTTAAAACATTCTTAAGGGCAAAACCCATAATCAAGATAAGGTAAGCGATTTCATCATCCTTTCCTTAGCCCACAAATCACTAATTCCTCACTTCATAAACCCAAGCCTTCTAAAACTCATTAGACGTTGGCCCCTAAGGATTCGAGCTCAATAAGGAACAAAAAATCCTTAAGAGAACCGATTTAAGTTTTCTCAGAATAGTTGGTGTCTAAGGCAAGGTTTAGGGGTTGCGTAAAGCGCTCCGCAAGGAAAGATGTACTTAATTGATCTTTGATCACCCTCTAGTACTATCCTTTCCTGGCTAACTACCTGGGTAAAACTTTGATTTTTTTACTGTAGGAGTTTATAGTTAGGAGCTGGTCTAGTTGAGTTAGGCTAAACCCTAGAATTAGAATTGATTGAAAAGTGATTGTTATGATTTGTTTTAGTTAGGATTTTTCTTTTTCTTTATCTTTTCATATAAAAAAAACTAATTTTTTTTCTTTCCTTAAAAAGAAAAAAAAATTTGGTGTATGTAAACTTGGGTTCGGGATAATTCTCATCGTTTAATCCGTGTTGAACCAATTATTAAAATAGCAAATCAACCCGTTGTCCAGGATATGTGTTACCCCACCAGAAATGTTATTCCATCTTGCATAAGGCTCCCTGAAGCAAATGGAGCAAATTTCGAGCTTAGACCGCATTATATAAACATGCTTCCCAAATTCCTAGGTAATGAAACAGAAGATGCATATATTTTTATCTCGGAATTTGAGGAAGTGTGTATTATGATTAAAATGAGAGAATTAACCGAAGATGTAATTAAGCTCAGATTTATTCCATTTGCCCTTAAGGACAAAGCTAAATAATGGCTGTATAGCTTACCGATAAATTCCATCTCAACTTGGGAGGAATTTGTCACCGTTTTTCTCAAGAAATTTTTTCCTATTCATAAAACGGTAAAGCTTAGGAACAGTATTCAAAACTTTAAAATTGTCCCAGGAAGCCATTCTGGAAATACTTTTACCGATTTAAAGATCTTCTAATCCAATGTCCTCATCATGGCCTAGAAAAATGGCGATTGTGCCAAATCATATATGAATGATTGGACTATTCTTCAAAAACATCTTTAGAATCGATGTGTCAGGGAGATTTTATGAGAAAAAATGTAGATGAAGCTTGGGAATTCCTAGAGAGTCTATCCAAAAAAACAATACAGTGGGAACACTGTGATGACAGGGTTTCATCTGTTCCCTAATCTAAGTCTAGTGGTCTTTCTCTGGAGTCAAACATTGCGTCTTAAGCGAAGATGGCGACGATTCTGCGGAGGTTAGAAGCCTTAGAAGTTAAGGAACCAGCTCCAGCTCAAATCAATCATATTTCTGCCTCGGGATGTCATAACTGTCAGTCTTCTACCCAATGTTTCAGAGGAATGCCCTCTCTTAGGAAACAACCATGCTTTAGAACAGATGAACGCTGCATTCCAGCAATGTTTCAGAGGAATGCCCTCTCTTAGGAAACAACCATGCTTTAGAACAGATGAACGCTGCATTCCAGCATCCTAGAAATGATCCATTTTCTCACAACCATGCTTTAGAACAGATGAACGCTGCATTCCAGCATCCTAGAAATGATCCATTTTCTCCAACCTATAATCCAGTTTGGAGAAATCATCCCAACTTTGCTTGGAACCAAGAAAATTCTCATGGAAACTAAAACTTTATTCCCGTGTCGAACCAACAATTCCCTAGGGGAAACACTGTCCCATTCAATGCACCAAACAATTTTCAACAAGCTAACCCAGTTCTTCTAACCCAACATCCTCATCCTCACCAACCTACAAATCCTACAAATTCTGATCATGACAAACGTTTGAGTGTCTTAGAAAAGGGTTTAGAAGCTATGATCAAAGCTTCTACACAAACTACCAACATGTTGACCCAATCATCCACCACTCTAAATTCATTCATGCAAACCACCGGCCAAGTGCTCAACTCGAACACACAAGCCATAGCCCGGTTAGAAACCCAACTTGGGCAACTAGCCGCTGCCGTGAGTGAGAGAGAAAAAGGAAAATTTCCAAGTCAACCTGTTGCAAACCCTAA